CATCTTCAATAGCGTCATTAAGTCGGACAACACCCTCAAAAAGTGAGATAGCTTTAGCATTCTCTTCATCCTGTTTAAAACAGATTGCTTGAATTTAATATCATAATTCTAAATAAACAAAGAATCAAATTCAAGAAGTTTAAGAATTTGCATTTACCTTAACCTTCTTGAAAATATCTCTAAATCCCAATTCTCTAAGTACCTGTTCACGGAGCCTGCAAAGAAGCTAAAATCGTCCTCAAAAGCATGAGACCTGAACTGATTCTTTACTAAACCACATTCTAATTGTAAATTGAAAAAATCATGAGAGTAAATATAGCAAAAGCAAGCTTACAACACAATCTGGTGGCCCACCATTGCTTTCAGGATTTTTCTTCATGTCCTCAAGCATAGCTGTATATCTAGTGCAGAAGAAAAAGAGGCAAAGTAGATTAGGTATGCTTATACTTGAATTGCATCCTCAGATAGAACACCTGAAACCAAGATCTAGACAAACAGGACATACAGTCATCAGAGAATATTTCAGCATTCCAACTATTCAGTTTGAATTATTTGTCATCAAAATATTATGTGGATAGTATAGCAAGCTAATCCATGATCAAACAGCTAAATCAAACATAGAAACATGTTAGCTCTCAAACCCACAGCCATGTCAAACAGATCAGTCTTTAGCCATCATTCTTTTTGTTTTTGTTTTTGGAATGAATTCAAAGCAGGAATACACACACAAGAGGCAGCACAACTGAGATCACATTTGTGAAGTTTCTGTGCTACATTTGAGATATGATTACAGATTTGTGCATTGCTGTGCCTCATGACTAAACAAAGCTATATACATCTTTAAGGCTAGCATTATTTCCAGAACTAACATGAGTGCCACATGTTAAAGCTGTTTTACATAGAACAGTTTAAGAAGAAAATGAAACAGTCTAAACATGCCGTAGATGGTTTATAATTTCTTTTAAACGAACAATAATAACAGAAGCTTTTAGGCAGCTTCAATGATATGTAATTAATTAGCAAAATATCGAAAACATTCCAAAAGCAAATTTAGCGCATCACAAAAGAATATAGCTTGATAACATACAAGGACAATGATGATTCAAATGACAAAGACTTACCTCTGAGCAAACTTTTCAGCTTTAATAGGGGCATCAACAACCGTAGGGTCATTCTCTGCTCGTTGCCTGCATAAAAACCAATATGGCCATTATAATCAGCGAAAGGGTTTAACAAGATGAACTAGTAATAAAACTACATGATAAACAAACTAAAACCAGGACAGAAGCAAGTCAAACTAGTTCATTCTAGGACTATTAGAGAATATGAGCAATTATAAGCTTCAAATACACTGATCTTAAACTTTATAAGCAAATCAGTTATGCAGATGAATGTTACAATTTGGTCCATCAAACAAAATCCAAACCATACTGAAAGGAAAAGAGGCACCAAGTGCTGTTACATATCAAACTGCCTTCATTATGAAGTGAATATTATCCCAACACATGATCACCCTGCTAGATTTTTCTACATAAATGATTATCTGAAGACATTCCAAGAATCAAAAAAAGAAAAGAGATAACTTATTCAGCAGATGAACTACATGTCTAAGGCAATCAATTTTAAAGTCAATGACAAATTACCCAAAATGAATTCAACAAATTACCCAAAGGCAATCAATTTTCTCTCGGTTAGTTAGTCACGGTGTCAAAAACAAGCCATTTGTCCAACTATTTGAGGTAGGCTAGTCTGATCCTTTCCTGGCACTAAACTGCACCATTGACTGTAGATAATTAATTACTTGGCAAGTATTACTTTTAAGTCTTCTTTGGTATTCCTCTATCCCTTGCCTTGCTTGACCAGTGCATTCATAGGATTTTTCACGCATGCTGGCAGTAGTGCACCATTATTGTTTGTTTTATCTTCATACAGAATTTGTTATACCCGTCTCTCTACATTAATCGTCACTTCAATCAGATCAAAAATATTTCTTTCCAGTGTCCTGATCTTTTTGAATAATAGATCCATAACATCATAGTTTTTTTCTACATTTGATAATTTCATTATCTATTTCAATGTTCAACTATAACTCCCTTCTTCTATTCAAGTTGTTAAAGTTGCGATTTATAAAACAATCCTACATCATCTAGAGTACTTTATTTTTTTATACTTACTTTTTCTTCTTTTGGATGCATAGCCTTTTGTTTTTTTTTATTTATCTCCTATTTATACCCATACCTCTATCACCACCTCTTTCTAATCAATTAGCATATCTGCTGAAAGAATATATTCAGCAGCCATCAAGTATCACTGTCCACCTCAATCCTCGCTGATCAGGTTGAGCTCATAAATAATGGTGTGTTTTCTGAACTGCATGATCACAACAACACATGTGAAGTGATCCATTATTAAAATGACCAAATTGGTCAATCTACATGGGAAATAAGACACCAACATGGAATGTGTTTTCGGTTGCAAAAGAAGTGTCATCAAAATATCTTAAATTCAAAGGGTCGAATAAAAGAGTCTCTTCAGTCAATGCTGAATCCGTGCATGCTGGACAGTAGATCAGAAATAAGAACCTCAGGGAGAACACAAAAAGAGGAATAGGAGGAGAGAGAATGCATTCTAAGCATAAAATCTCTAGTTGGACCATCGCTGGCGGACTTGAACATGCCAATTGTCAAAGTTAAATGGAGGCATGGTACACTAATGGAAGCATAAAATCTTGCAATAGTGATACAAAACGACTTGATATGAATAGGAAGAAATGTAGAGAGATGAAATGAGGAACGAAATGTTTGAAGGCAGCAATGGTAATAGACAATCAGTTGGCTAATTTAAAGTTTTGTGCCACGTATGTTTATCTTTACATAAGTACAAACTGGGTCAAGCTGGGTTGGGTAGCACAACCCCTCAAACCAAACATACCTGAGTCAAAATTTGAGCTTTCTTGAGCTGGACAAATTTCAAGACCCACAAACCCCAAATTTTCATGTTTGGCTTGGGTTCTCCTGGTTACAATATTATACATCGAGTATCCACCAACTTAGCGAACTTATGGATATTGACTGGATGATCATGGTGAGATATGTGCACACAGAAGAGACTTGATGCACCCAAAGGTCAACTTTAAATTTAAAATATCTCAAGATTTCAGCCAAACTAAGTCCGGGTTGTTTTTTTCATTTTTCTAATATTCCTTGGAAGCTATCTTTATTATCTTTAGATCTGTAATAAGAATTTTCTCAGGCTTCCAAATAGAGGAAGATTAGTAGCTATTTAAGTGTTACATTCTTATCTCTATGCAGCAGCCCTTTTTCTAAGGGAAAGAATCCAATAAGGGCAGAAATCCATCCAAAAGAAAGGGGCTCATATGAAGGGTTAAATGAAATTGTGAATGATTTTATTATCCTTCAGGAGTCATACTACAGTTAAAACAGCATGTGGCATCTCAAGCTACAATAGATACCGAATCAAAAGAAAGTAACTATTCTGATAGAGAAATAGAAAGAATTCTAGGTTGGTGGGCCTATACATATTAATTATGTTCTATTTGTGTTCTCTCTCTTCCTTCAAAAATTGTAATTAGCTAACAACTAAATAGGTTATGTACGTATGAGAAGAGGATTAACCAAGACGTCCATCACAGGAAAAGCAAATAGAGGTTTCCCAGTTACTAGCTTTGGTTGTTCTGTTTATTTTTTAATGCCCTCAGATGTCACTACTGTACAAACAACACAGTTCCTGATCATATTATTTAGTTTCGTTTCTCATCTAGCAGTAGACTTCTAATTCCCCGAGCTTTAGTAGCCAAGTAGGTCCAGCATAATCCACAACAAACAACTCGCACACTAGCATGAGAAATAAGCATCAAATAACTATCATCAACCCTAAAACATCATCAAGAAAAGCACAACAATCGACGCCTTGATGGAGAATATAACCCCGTCCACATTCATTCCCAAGATTGTAAAGATCAAGAGACCACGGATCAAAAGGAAAAGCAAGAAATGCGGACCTAAAGGAGGGGGCGGAGTTCAAGAAGAGATCGATCCACTGGATCTCCACGGGCGTGGCCTTGCGGGGATTGTCAGAGGGAAAGCGGTAAGGGATCGTACAGACTCTGTATTTGGATTCGATCGGGGTTTGGAGGAGCGGAAACGGCACCGTCGGTGAGGAGCTCTCCATGCCTTCCCTGTTTCTCCGCCAACGCGACGAGGGTTTGGTCTCCCGCTGCTTCCCCCCTCGATGGAGCTCCGGCGGCTCCAAGAGGAAGCGAACAACTTAATTGGAAATCTGAGAGAACGGAATGGAAGTCGCGACGCGAAGTAGGGGGATTTCCTTTTCCTCCGTCGGGCTCTTATGACACTGGCGGCGAAAGCACGGAGGGGGTCAAAGAGACGGCCCTCGGTTAACGTATTTACAATTATTTATCTATTATTGGATTTCACCATATAATAAGATTTGGATCCATATATGTTATAGTTTATTTTAATTTCTTGATATATATATATATATATATATATATATATATATATATATATATATATATAATCATTACCAGCACACAGTATCGTCAATAATTTATGAGATTTAAAACCTTTTTCTAACGCGAATTAACAGTAAATAAAAAAGTGAGTGAAAGTAACTGAGAAAAACAATCTAATTAAAGTTGATTGTAAACCTCTAATTAAATCTCCTTGTAAGTACGGACAGATTTGAATTGACTTACGATGATGATATAGATCAACTATCATTAATTGAATCTAAAGTATTTTTTTTATCAATGATTTGATGGATGATTATTCACATTAAAACTATCCAATCTCATTAAAGATTATTACTGTTCCATTGGGGTACGTAAAACCCCCACCACCAACCTTCCTATTATTTTTTTTCCCCAACAAAGCGGCCAGCAATACATGAGCCAAGCAAAAACATAAGCTCCGGAGATGTCATCAGTATGATCATGGAAAAACACAGATTTCAAAGGAGGATATGCAACCAGATTGGCTCGTAAGCAAAATAATAATCTACAACATCTTGGGACGTCAGTAATAATGGTACAAGCATTACAGGAAGGTCCAAACAGGTGCTGAAGAATCCTTGAAACATATAAACTCTTGTCTCTAAGCTAAACACCACAACTAAAATAACCTACCACAGGGAGAAGAAACACACAACAGTTTGTTTCCGCAGTCACTAGGAACTACCCCTAAACAAGATTCAAATACAATTACAAACACACAGTAATGATAGCATAAGTTATTTCCATGGCATGTTAGACAACCCTTGCTGGTTGTTGTTATTGCATGTTCCCATACTCTGGTTGAGCGGACTCCCAGGCCCACCGGAGGATTCGCTCAAGGTGCCCCGTGAGGTTGGGCTGCTGGGGGCTGGTGCTGGAACAGGTGCAAGCTTTCCAGGGGCCGACATCGGTTCCAAGGGATTATTGACCTGTTTCGGTTCTTTTTTACCGGCAATGAAGCTCCCCACAACCACCTGCAGAGACAAACCAACTGTTACCAGTTATTTATAAAAGCCCTCTTTTACTGTAAAATACAGGCACTGATACACAAGCAAACTTGGTCCTTCTGGCTTCTGACTCTATATCGGCTTTAAACCATATAAACATACTGCTACATCACTTGTATAATTTGGAACTAAGATGCTTCTCATTCAAACAGCATAGCACAACTATCTGATAAGATACAGGAGCATAAAAATCTTGTGGAGAAGATGAATCACATTGCAGGTCAATTTAGTAAAGCTAGGTGGCATCTTCACCTGCTGTCAGGTGAACATGAACAGATGCTTCACTTAACCTTCCACTAAGGCTTGGATACTTATATCATGTCACAATTAATAAGTTACAACAAATGGAACCCAGGGTTGACAATTCGCACTCAGCTGCGGGTCTAACAAAGGGCAGAGGGCCCATCACACTTATCACCTCATGACTGACATCAACAGGGGTGCCAGATGGCTTGTTCCACAAGATGCTAATGAACACACAACTTAAAATAGTTCAGGGATGAGGCTAGGAAAAATCTATTTAGTGTACAACAAGAAGGCGATCGATATTATATCTTTTCACTATAAGAAAGATTACTGCATAATTTTATTATGCGAGTCCACATTAGGTCTACAGTCACAATAAGATCCGAGTAGTAACATGAATGTAGCAATTTCGTAACCAAGAACCAAACTTTACATAGAACCCTTCCCAATAAACCTAAGAACTCAAGGGTAAAGTAATATGTTTTGAGGTTTGATACTCGAAAAGGAAAAGGGAGAGGGAAAAAGAGAGAGGAAAAAGAAAAAGAAAAAACCATGCTTGGGGGATTCCATGCAAATTGAAATGAGAAGAAGAAACTATTGGATAAAAAAGACTAGAAACAATGCTGATTCCATGTATATCTGTAGGAACAAAGCAGTCATGAAGATAACTCTATCCCATGACCAAAATCATCTAAATAAGGACAAAATGGTAGAGTGTGGGATCCATAGGCACCAAGCATATTTCACCAGTATATGGCTCGGGTGAGAATGCCTTAGATGAAGACACAAGCATGTACTAACAAAACTTACACAAAACCTGTAAACATATTTGCATAGTATTGTTGCAAAGAAATTAGGCTGAAGCACAGTATAATATTAGCCTAAGGATGTCTCATGTCACAAAAAGAGAGACCTGGACAGGTGATGCTGCAGTCAACAGTCCTGCCACTCCCCCGCCCAACACGCGCCCATCGGGACCGGCAAGTGAAACACTCAATCCACCTGTTCGGCTACGCTGACCACCACTCTCTGAAAGCAGAAATGAGCCCGACAATGACAATATCTCAAACCGTCCCTGCACATGGAAATTATAAAACTATGATGGCATTACAGATTAATATACTCGGAAAGAAAATGTTAGGCAAAGGGAGACGATTGAGAAAGACCAATCATAAATTGTCTAGTTTATGTAATCAGACATTTATACCAGACAGCCCATGCTATATAGGAATGTGTTTCAATATATGGTAATCATATCTTTCTTGATATAAAATGATAATCATGCCTTTGAAACTGGATAAGTCCATAAAGTCAAAGCTCACCAAATAATTATTTTAAAAGGTCTATCTGCTCACCATCTACCCTGGTTAACAATATGGCAAATAGGTTCAGCCAATGCCAAGTTTTAAGACTATCAACAGCAAGTCTTAGCTGTTTGTGCAAACCAAAGCTGTAAACAATGACAAGAATTACCCACGATATACGCCAAGAATCATGCAATTGTACAAACTGATCAAGCAGCAAAATTAACACTATAATCAAATGAAACAAGATTTAATAACTTGCAGTCCATACAAACAGTTCCTGCAAGAAGCTGAATCTGTCAATATGTCAGTTTCAAGCGCAGACCTCATAAGTTACAGTTCCACCAGAAGTTGCTGCTTGACGAAGTGTTACATTAGATATTGCACCATTTGCAGAAAGAATGCAAACAGCACGTGGACCATGCTGAGAAAATGACATAATTTTTGAAGATACATCCTGAAAACATAGAACAAATTTTTATCATCAAATTTGTGTTGTGAAACTTAACATATCAAAATAGTTTTATATTGTAAAAGGACCTATTGGTCCACCAGAAGTTTGTACTAAGTCATTCATCAAGTGATTGAAGAGAAGGCAAATTAGATCTGATAGAAAGAGATGCGCCAAAAGTACTGACCAAATGTATGTATTTTCTAATCAAGTGCATCCAGGACCCACTCGCTCAAAGGACAGAGATAATTTACAACATAATTAACAACCAAGAGCTGCCAGATGATTCTAAGTGACTGTCAGATCATCAGCTCTGGTCATTCACAAAAACTGTTATTGGCAGCTGATGCGAAGCAAAAATCTCCAAGCACCTATGTTGATTTTCAGTTTATTAAAATATTAACTGTTTCAAAATTTTCAATGTACTAAAGGCTAAAAGCACCTGCGGCTATTCAATGGAAGAAATCAACAATTAACAAATAGTAATTCAGCCAGAAATTAGATCAACATGCTATCTCATATATGGAAATATTTAACTAAAAAATCGTAACATTAAGAAGACGTAAGTGATTGAGTAAATAGACTTACTGTATGTATGTGTGTGTGTGTGTGTGTGTGGAAAGCCAGACAACCTCATAAAAACAATAAAAATCATATGTGAACAAACGCAATAGCGAACAAATAAGACAGTTACACTGGCAACTAGTGAAGTAGACTATGGTAAGGTAAACCTAATTGGATAAGGCAAACTTGAAACCTTATATAGTTTATTAGCTTGTTCCTAAAAACTTCCAACAGTAAAATAGCACCAGAAGAGGATATTAAATTTGAAATATCTACAATTGCCATTCTCTTCGGCATCACACTGCAGATATGAACCAGAGACCAGAACAGAGAATCAATGCATTTCGTGTTTGTTGCTCATAACTCATAAAGCATAAAAAAGTGGACTTCAGAAACAAGTTGGATACAATATAAGCTCTCCTTGATTCTGAGTATTACTAGAAGGACCAAAAAGGAAATCTAAACAAACATTGCGGAGACACCCAAGAAACACTAACTATAGCAGAAGAACACATTCTAACTCAAATTAAACAAATTTAGCAGCATCACCCACATCACCGATGTAGGTCTCATTATGCAACAAATATAAATGAATACCTCTCCAGTCTTCACTGTGATAACATGAGGAGTAAATCCAATCCCTGCTGATCCTGAAAGTTTATTCTCTACATCAGGCTAATTTATAGAAATGTAGAGTTACAAATATCAATAATAAATTAAATTAAAAAGGTTATTAAAATGGCCAATCAAGCATATAAAATTAACCTCATATTCCATGGACTTTAAGATAAAGTCTCATTTTAAGAATCCACAAAGGTGCCTGTGATGATGAATATCCAATACTTGGTAAATACAGTAAGTATAATATGAACACAGCAATTTTTTAAAAAAGAAAACACATAAGAAACACGAAGTTTTTTGTCAAGAAAATTAAATTAAAAAAATCAAGTTGAATTCCATCAGTGTAGCATGCACTAACTTAGCAATTTAATTTACAAATTATCATAAAAGTTTAAACTTTGAAACTGTAGAAAAGCAGATGATACACTTAACATCAAACAAATAACAAATGATTCTTGAATTCCTCAAATCTCAACAGACATTTAAAAAAAACAAATAAGGGTGCAAAAGTAATTTCAAGCAGATCATTCTCCAGGCTGTCAGATCTACCAGAACTCAGAAGTCCCCAGCAGAGTCAAAGAGCATTATATTTATGCCTCTGACAAAATAATCTCTCATTCCCACCATACCATCAAGCCTTTGTTTTACAGCCAGATCCCAAACAAGTAAAACCTATATGAACCACCAGATGATTAAAAGGCCAAGCAAACCATGTTGCAACAGTGGAACCCTCCTCCATTGGAAAAGATCATCAGATCTACAGATACATAGACAGAACTGGGATTACCTAGAGCAGCCATCTGCTGCTTCTTGCCAGAACCAGGAGGTCGGCCCCTTGCTTTCTTCGAAGGATCTGCCGAGGATGCTCTGTTAGTTGTTCCAGTAGGGGAAAGGGAGAATCCACCGCCCCCCGGTGCGCCTGAAGCAGCAGCCGATGTAGGGATCAGAGCAAGAGCCATGGTTCCATCAGGCCCGTACTTTCTCGGCCGTCCTCGCTTCCGCTTCACAGGCTCACCCATGGTGATATTTAGGCCATGTGGAGCCATCATTGGAGAGGGACCTTCGACGCCGCTGCCAGTGGTCCCTCCCCCTCCGCCTCCTCCTTGGTAAGGGGCAGGAGCAGGAGCAGGAGGAGGAGGAGAGGTGCTGGTTATTGGCTTGTAGATCGCTGTACCGTCCGGTGTAAAGGCCAATCTCATGCTCTGGATGGCTGGCGGAGCCTGCGCGGGACTTTTCTGCATTCCGGAGCTAAAGGGTTCCCGAGCAGGCATAATTCCTGGTTCTGATCGCACTTCCATGGCCACGGTGAGGAAGCTCAAAACACCATTACCGGGAAAACCCAAACCCTACCGGTGGAACAACCCCGAGAACTCCGCAGGAAGGACAGCACAAAGTAAGATCACAACTCTAGATTCTCCTTGGAACTTAAAATAGCGCAAATTTGCAAGACAACTTGAACAAAAACAGTCTGGAAAGTTTACTCTACTAAGCGAGCATCGACGAGATCAGGAGATAAATCAGTAGAAAGTTTGAATTTTTACTGCAGAAACCCACTCGAACAAGCTCGAAAGCAGTACCGACGGGCAACAATTATTCAAAAACCCTAAGCATCGAAGTCCCATCTTTATCCCTGCGTATTACAGCAGAAACAAACAAGAAGAAAGAGCGACGGCATCAGGATCAGGCCACAAGCCACTGTACAAAGTAAAGAGGAAACAAGACTGGGCTAAAAAAAGAAGCACAAGCAGTAAAAAAGAGAAGAAAACACCCTAATACTACCCTCGATCCAGCTAATAAACCATGAATTTTCAAACCCAACTCTCCTCAAAAATTCCTTCCTTTTTTTCCCCAATTTATCCATATAAACCACGATTTCACCACCAATTTCGTAGAAAAAGGCCCACCGAAAAATCGAGGAAACTAGGAAGAAAGCCGGTTGCTTTACCAAAGAGAAAGAAAGAAAATACGGAAACTAAAAACCTTAATCCCATGTCGGACCGCTCCCAGAGCCTCACCAACAGGCTGAGATGAGAGAAAAAGAGGGGGCCAAATCGTGCCCTAATATTTCCGGCACCCCTCCGTGCCCAAATTTAACCCCTTTTTCTATAAATTTCCAGAAGCCTCCCTCTCTCTCTTCTGTGGAATTGGTAAGGACTTTTTATTTTTTAGGGGAAAATAATGGTGGAAACGAAAAAGCAGGAAAAAGACAAGTAAAGCCACCCCAAACTGCTTTCACACGATAACATCATTTTAGAAAAAGGGCCGATTAATTTAAAGCGCCAATTAAGCCGAGTGCGCCCCCAGGATCGGTGGACCCCCCACCCCTCTCTCCATCCTCTTTCATTTGAAGCCTAATCGACGGACGCCGTTGAACGTTGACTTTTCGGGCTACGACACTGTTGACTCGGAGAACAAATAATGGCGAGCGCTCACGGCAGTGCAAGCTGCGCCGTCAGTGACCGGTCGGAAGCCGCTGCCGCCGAGACCGCAAATGCAACGATGAGAACGTTTTGGAGTCGGCTCGCACGGTGGTCGTACTGGTCAACGCAATTATTGATTTTAGACTTGGTCGGCAGGACGAAATCAGTTTTATTTCTCTGGCCTAACCACTACTGAGATGTTCGATTTGACTCTCCAATCTGTAAGCTTTCAGTTGTCATCACTCGTATGTTTGCACTGTGGAAACCTCAAATCAAAAATATGATTACGATAAATATCAGGAATATAGTTCCACACGTATGCACTGTGGAAACCTCAAATCAATCTGACATGTTTTAGAATGTGATGAGCAAGTACAATCCACACTCCTCTGATGTTGACATGTAATCATATTGATATCTTCTACCTCAACTATAAACTATAGACAATTATATTTTTAACACAATATAAAGATGGCAAGAATATTCATTGCTCTACGGTTCTTCCATCACGATCCCTACGCTTGCCTCCGTGTAACAAGTTAATCTCCACTCATATGCATGAGTGTTCATACAAGGACCTTTTCCTCCTTTTTTTTTACAAGAAAAAGACAAGAAAACTTGTTCTTATCTCCATTTCAAACTCATCCTAACCTACTTTTAATGTAAAATGATAGGATATATTTTGGGTCCAAGACACATCACAATCGATGTCATGCCGCGCTACAGCTAGGTCAGCAAGGGGAGCATCGCCACACGTTAAGTCAGAACCCATACCAATGCCAGGTCAGCAAGGGGAGCACCCCTACACGCTAAGTCAGAACCTATACCGAGGTACTGTTTGGCACGTCCCGTCTCGGAAGCTTGGGGCAACGTCGTTTGACGTCGTCCCATGCATCTCGAGACAACGGGCGCACAGTACCGTCTTGTCCCCCGAGGATCAGTCGCCATGTCGAACCCGCGTGCAACCGACCCTCGTACGATAATATAAAAGTCCCTGGCCGGCATCCGACAAGAGGGGGAGAAGGCACAAAGAGAAAAGAAAAACAACTACTGACTTGCTCATCAGAGTGGCCAAAGTCGGGGATCACCCGACAAAGGTTATTTTTACAGGCAAGCGACCATCCCGAGCCACGAGCGTCTCGACCTAGGAATCGCCATCTAGTGAACCAAGGCGAGCTGCCTACCAGCCCGAAAACGGAGAGACGTTGCTCAATGCAGATGGTGCCCGGATCGAGAAAATGTTGATCAACACCTTGTTGCAAGGGCCCGACCTTTCTTGGCATCCAACTCAATCAGCAGAAAACTCCCGACATCGACCCGTGGATCGAGTTGTACTTACTCATCAACCATAACACATTTATCCACCAACATAAAGTACCTTTTGACTTAGGCATTAGAGGGAGGTTGACAATCAATTGCTCTTGGACATGAATGTCACCACCTCCGGTGGAACACATCACCTGGCTTATGACTAAGGCAGTAAAATCATAGAGTGGAAAAACTGACCTGATCAATTATATCCATTGCCACGTGGACGAATGGTCTGCATACGATGAGATAACACCGTTAAAATGCATAACGTTAATATCTACTACCCATACCCACGTAAGCTTCCATTTGATATGTTCTACGGAGTCTTTAGTTCTTCGACTTTTTCTCAAGACTTTTAGGCGGAATTCCCACCAAACTTTCCAAGAACATCACCAAAAGAAGACGTACGGAAGATTAAATGCCTCTAGTGCTATTACACCTTAGCAACCCCAGAAAGAGTTTTAATTGTCGAGACCGGGGAGAAATATGCATCCTATGGGCGAGTGCTTATTACATATAATCCCGGATATATAAATAAATAAATAACAAAAGCAAATACAAGAAAAGAAATGGCCTAATTATATTTCCGTAGGGGAATCTAACTCTCGTAGGAGGCCAACAAAAAGACGAGGGCTAATGGACAGCCTTTTCAACTACTAGTCCTTGGATTTGAGTAGTTGAACGAGCAGCGGAAAGCCGGGGGATACGGAAGCCTTATCTTCACGTCGGGATACTCTAATTTAATTCCATGCACAGAAATTAGATGGGAAGGATACCAAAAAGATGTGCACCTGTGACCCGGTTAGGTATCCGCACGGGAAGGATAGTGAATGAGAGATGGGTTTACGAAGGAGTAGTAACAAAAAACAAAAGGACGAGTCACCCACGTGACCACCACCCCGCCTTCATCGCTTCGCTCGACGCATACTCTTTTTCTTCTTGTGGGCAGTGATTCCTAAAGCGAAGCCTCCCAACACCAACGTAAGAATAGGATATCGTCTCGTGGGATGTGTACCATTAGCCCAAGCATGGAAAGGCGAAGGGTGACGTGCAAGTCATCTCCTTGTTAATGCTTTGACTTGCTGACTCGACCTTTCCCATGTAATTGGATCAATGGACTCGCTAGATGAGATCCGACCCATCTTCACGTCCCATTGCAATTCTTGGTCTAAGCTTGAGCTGCCTTCGTCATCCGAACCAATTCCACGGGCCGTGCCTGCACGCTAGGCCGGCCCATTGCAGTTCTGTGCAATCCTCCTGTGGAGACATATGAGAACAAAGAACACGAATGGCGATTGGTGATGCCATCTCATCCGTTCCAACCCCCCTTGCGTATGAAACGATGATCCCATCAACCGTTGCAGGGATAGGATGAGGATGGCGTTTGAAATCCGAATCATTAGCCGTTACAAATTGACTCGAACTGGGAAACCTAATTACAATCGCAATCCTCGCCACTGCCGCCTATTTATTGCGTGATTCGATTCTTCCCTTTATTCTGTCTGTTGATTCCTCGTTGGATGATCGAGAAATAGACAAGGATGGAGACGGCGACGACGGTGCAGCTGCCGGCGCAGCCTAAGCCGCGGACGGAGCAGGCGATGGATGCGTACGAGAAGCTGGAGAAGTTGGGGGAAGGGACGTACGGGAAGGTGTTCAAGGCGAGGGAGAAGGCTACCGGCAAGATCGTCGCCCTCAAGAAGACCCGCCTCCCCGAGGACGACGAGGGCGTTCCGCCCACCACCCTCCGCGAGGTCTCCCTCCTCCGCATGCTCTCCGTCGATCCCCATGTCGTCAGGTGGTGTTCCCTGAACGCCAATAACTACTTCCTCCCTCCTTGGTTTAGGGAATTCCCCATCCTTTTCGTCTCGTAATTGAAGTTTGACGCCATCATCTCTGTCTCGGCCTCGATTCCTTCTTTGCATACGTTTTCTTCACTGATTTTATGGTGCGATATCTACCTTTTCATGCGGATAGGCATTAGATTCCTTCCTCCCCTCTGTAATTGATGGATCGGAGGAACTCCCCGTGCTTTATTGGCCTTGTGTTTCAAAATTTTGTGTTATCTACCAAGTCAGTCGTTTCTGGAAATTGCTCTCTTGTCTGCTATTTGTTCCCACTTTCTGGCAATTCTTCCTGTCGTAGTTTCAGCATCGCCTGGCTTTTCTTGTTAATTTTCCCATGTAATGATCGATTTGTTTCCTCGTACTACTCACCACAGACTGCTGGATCTCAAGCAAGGCCAGAACAAACAAGGGCAGACCATTCTGTATCTCGTCTTCGAGTACATGGACACTGATCTTAAGAAGTACATTAGAAGCTTCCGCCAGAATCGTGACATGATCCCGCCCAAAACTATCAAGGTAACGAGCTACGTCAGTAAACGAACTGTTTCATTGTTCTACTACATGTTGCAAACAATTGATAGTCTTCTGGCACTGTAATTTACAATTTAGTTGTTGTGCTCTAAATATCGTGGGTTTCACTTTCTTTGTTCTTATTCTCTTTATCCCTCAAGAATTGACACTCCTTGATGAACACCCTTCGGATTACTAGAGAGAGAAGCAGAGTAGCCCCTGTGGTTATGAAATCATCACACCAAATCATAGAACCTTTCATTAATAAACTATTGATGTATGAATTCTAGTGCAAACAGTTCCCTTAAGTTGCTTTGTTGTTGAGATGGCTGATGATTGACACTCCTTGATGAACACCCTTCGGATTACTAGAGAGAGAAGCAGAGTAGCCCCTGTGGTTATGAAATCATCACACCAAATCATAGAACCTTTCATTAAAAAACTATTGATGTATGAATTCTAGTGCAAACAGTTCCCTTAAGTTGCTTTGTTGTTGAGATGGCTGATGATTGGCATCATGTCGTAGTCTACAGAAAATAGGTCATGACATGCAAAAACTAGGTGATTCTAAGGCAGTTTTGTCCATTTTGGTGAGCGATCTTTTTGTAGCATTGCAAATTATTCTTGTTCATAGTTTTCAAGCAAAAACATACAAAAATAGAGCAAAACATGTAAGTAAACAAAAGTGATGAACAGTCTATTGATGAAAGTGTTGCGGGTGCGTGACGATCGTTCGTGACATTCTATCTCATTTAAACTGTCAACGCTCTCGTCGACTCTTGTTAGTAGGCTTTTCGTGTTGCAGAGCGTTTTCAGGCTCTCAATTGGCTTTTGTCTGAGAAAGCTTTTGTTACTTTATTAAATACTTGATTTGCTTTGTTCTGTTAGGTAGTTTTATCATATGATCTATTAAAATGGCTTTAACTCACTTTTCGTAGAAGGCTCTAGTGGAGAGTAGTCGAGTTGGAATACTTCGAGAAGCATCTTGCGTTGAATGGTAGGTTTTCAAATTGTTCATGTGGAAGATATTATGAATTTTAAGCCATGTTGGCAGTTTTAATTTGTAGGAGACATTGCCTATCTTATTGATAATTAGAAAGGGTCTTTCATAGTTGCGTACCAGTCCCTTGTACACTTTATGCCTAAAAAAATAGATTGATGTTGGTTTGAGCTTTATTAGCACCAAGTTGCCGACTTAAAACTCTTATGGTTGTCTTCCTAAATCTGCCTACTTTTTTTTATCTTTTTGGCTACCTTCTTCAAGTAAGCTTAGGCAATATATGCAATTCGATGTCATTGCTTTGCAAAATGATACGTTGATGGGCTACTCCTAGCAATTTGAATAACTCGGTTCAAAATCGTCCCAAGAGTCATGTATCTCAATCGCTGATGATATTACGTAGAACTCCCCAATACTTCACCATATTCTTTATCACCCCCTCTGCTAAACAGTGTAGGGGTATAGCAATGAATATTGTATACTTTGAAAATCGATCGACCACAATAAGTATCGACCCAAGTCTCCCTACCGTTGACAAGTTTGATATAAAGCCCAAGGAAATGCACTCCCACGACCTTTTAGGTATGAGCAACGACTCCAAAAGTCCCACCAACTTTTGTTGCTCTACCTTGTCTTGTTAGCAAGTAAGAACCATTCGAATATATTATTTTACATTAATCCCCATCTTCGGCAAATAGAAGACTCTCTCCATGAGAGCTGACACACTCTCAAGAGTTCACTTCTCAAATTGCCCATTCGGGAAATATACTTTATTTTCTTTGGTGTAGATGTCCTTTTTGTACCTAAAATCATTGTCTTGCCTTCTTTGATTAGTTACATCAGGGTTATTGCCTGGGGATCTGTTCAGTCCATCCTTAATCTTGGAAAGGAAGTCAGAGTGTAACTTACTTACTTGGCCTTTGTCTTTCAATCGCATGACATTCACTAGCTCCACTTTCATACTCAATGCATCGATCACGACATTTGCTCTTTCGGGCTTTGCACTTATCATATCAAATTTAACCAAGAAGTCCTACCACCATGCTTGTTTTAGGGAGAGCTTTTTTTGAGTTTGGAAGTAACTCAATATGATATTGTCTGCTTTTAGCATAAATCTTGTTCCGAGAAAATAGAGTTGCCACACTCGTAGACAGTGGATCACCGGGTGACCCCTCTGTTTGTGCTATCTGATTTTGATACAAATTTAGAGTCGATCGAGGTTTATTCCACATCCATCATAGGTCGATCTCGGCTAACGCTACATTTCTCCAACCTTGAAATGTCAAACACATCTGACTCCAAGGAGGTTGAACCATACAGAATTGCATCGGGGGCGTTCCCAATAAATGCCCTTCTGAGACTTAAGTCAATTTTGGACTTAAATAATTCAACCAATAATTTGAATAGCATTGGAAATGGTAAGCAACAGCTAAGGACCCCCTTTTATAGTGGGTTTCTTGGACGATTACTCTTGTGATCAACAACAATTAAGGAGGGTGATTGTTAAGGTGTCAATCATGTGTTGAGCCACATGTTGGGCATGTGCTAACCACAGGTGGCGTCGAGGGGATAGCCGTGTGGTGTTGAGGTGACAATCACATTTGACGTTGAGGTGACGTCCATGTCAATTTTTCTCGTAACAATATTTTTGTATTGCTTCTGTTACTCATCCAATGGCCATATGATAGTTCCCCCAACATTCATACAAGGTTATTATTCTTTCTACAGATTTTGATGTATCAACTCTGCAAGGGAATTGCATTTTGTCATGGCCGTGGCGTGCTGCACAGGTAAAAATAACGTTGATGCTGCCTTTCCTAATTCCAGTATCTTATACAGAGGGAATTAGTGTAACACCTCATTGGTGCAGGGACCTGAAGCCTCATAATCTTTTAATGGATCAGAAGACCATGATGCTAAAAATTGCAGATCTTGGGCTCAGCAGAGCTTTCACTATTCCCTTAAAAAAGTATACTCATGAGGTATAATAGTTTTGAACTTTGGTAGGAAGGGCTTATGGCATCCAGCAGATCTCTTAATCTTGGTTTGATTGTTTCAGATCCTGACTCTCTGGTATCGAGCTCCAGAAGTGCTTCTTGGTGCCACACATTATTCAACACCAGTAGATATGTGGTCAGTTGGCTGTATATTTGGTAAGAAGTTCTCTCCCATCAATTGAAATGCAAAGAATTTCTACAGTATAGTCATACATAGAGGCCCTTCTAATTGGTGGTTCCTGGTTTCTTGTGAACTTCAGCTGAACTAGTCACAACCCATGCACTCTTTCCTGGTGACTCCGAACTGCAGCAGCTTCTTTACATCTTCCAGTAAATTGTTTCTCAATCCGCACATCTTTTCACCTATATATGTTTCTTTGTTATTTACGTCGATTACACTGCTGATGCAGGTTTCTCGGTACTCCAAGCGAAGAAGTTTGGCCTGGGGTAGACAGATTAAGTAACTGGCACGAATATCCTAAGTGGAGCCCCAAGAATCTTTCATCAGCTGTGCCTAACCTGGATGCCGATGGGTTAGACCTGCTTTCGGTGAGTGTAGGTTCGGGTAGATTGTCTTGATATTGTACCGATTCTTTTATATGCGTAAAGCAAAAGAAAATGTATTTGGTATCATAAAATGTTTACGTTGTATTTCACTGTAATATTTTAAGCATAAGAAGATCTTAGATGCTAGCAGAAGATGCTGATCAGCTTTCCTCGATTCATTTTTACCTGACACTTGCAGAAGATGCTGCAGTACCAGCCATCAAAACGGATTTCAGCAAAGCGAGCCATGGAACACCCATATTTTGATGATATAAACAAGGCTAATTACTGAGCTCTTAACCGGCCGCCGCTGGGAAGTCTTGATCCTGAAACTAACAACTGTACCACCACGGTTGTGGTCATTTTGGATGATGTATAGCTTTTCTCGAGCATTAAGCATTGTTCGTGTACTACACCTGCTGAAGCATTTAGCGCTTGTTAGAATGCCATCAGCTTGTTTTTTACCTAAAGATGATGATTCAGTAGCAGTGCGGTGTTTCTTCTTTAAAAGACAACCAAGAAGCAACTTTTACAACATATGAGGATGAAGGCCATGTTTAAAAGAACTGCAAAGATTAGGCAGACGAGTCGGTGCAGTGCATACTGAGGGTCTATTTGTCGTCAGTTTGCTGATAAATCTTGAGATCAGTTGCAAGTCTCACTGAAACTGATGGCAGGGAAAACGTGTATGCCCAGAGAACAATAACAGGTCATTCGCTTTCAACTGATGGCATTATGATCCAACATGGTTTATGTGGTGGCCAAATAGTGTTGTTACAGGATTAGGTACCTTCATGCTGGGTGCTTTGCCCTCCTCTAACATGATGATGCTCCACCAATGAGATTAATAGTCTTCTACCACAATGCTGCTGGCTTTGGGGGCAAGTCTGTGTTGTCGCTGCTGCAGGTCTCAATCATCCATATAAAACATGTAACTCACATGCCTTAGACTGCTGAAAGTTACTAATGGATCATGATCTCCTAACTTTTTTTTGTACTCAGATTCTTGTCCACCAATGTCTCAGTAGCTGAACCTCCAAAATTGCTGACTACGTGATCAGAATTGCTCTTACAGTTGAAGGTGCAATGGGCCACGACGACGCTTCATTCCGCCGCCCCGAATGCCTCGTATTGGCCTCTCACAATTGGGCTAAATGTGAGATCTCTCCTGCCCGAGCTCCCGTACGTTTAATTGATTGACTCATGCGGTTGAATCACGAAGAGGACGGCGACGAAACCAAACAATTTCGCCTTCTCGACCGACTTTCGTGGTGAGCGAACCCAACCTCAGCCCGTTTGGTCGAGCACGGTCTGAGGAGTCCGTTTGGTTCGGTTCGTAGTTTTTGTCCATAAGTAATCGTCGGGTCGACCCTCCCCACTCTGCCGCACCTGCCGCCTTGTCGAAACCTCGACGACGCACACCAGCGAAACCCTGCTGTCGCACGCTTCGTTCCGGGATCGCCGCTCTACCCTCGGCTCTACTCCCTCCTTTGCTCTTGAGGTCCGTCGCCTTGTTGTAAAACATAAATTGCTCTCTGATCCCTTGATTGTGCTCGAAATCGTTCTTGTCGTCGTTTCTCTTGAATCAACGGCTCGGCTTTTGATTTCATTTCCGGCTCGAGCTAGGGTTTTTCCTTTTCTGTATTTTTTTGGTTGGAGTTTCGACTTATTTGATCGAGACTGCTAATTTGGGGGCAAAACCATTTATATATTTCTTTTTAAAGAAGACATACTTATGTCTCTCCGATTTTAATTTTAGGCACTCGGGGAAGCAGGTCTTTGAGGGGATCATACAAGTTAGGGCTTTTAGCTGCCCGTGCATTTTACTTTCTTGCCGAACTGGATAGAGGTGTTTGGTTGGTCTACAGGCAGTTTTCTTAGTCGAAATATCAATTCTAATTTTTCTTTTTTGAGATCGTTCATATTTACAACGTGTTGTTGGTCCATGTTACAAAATATTGATAGGTGCTTCCAATAGGAAACTGCATCTAATTCCCACCTTACATTTTTCTATTGCGTTCCAAGTTTCAATTGCTACACACATGAAGAAAAAAAAAAGGTGAGATTTTTGAAAGATGGTATCTTTGATATCGGTGTTGCAACCATCTAGGGTTTCCGGAGGTTTTGCGAGCTCTTTGACAGCTTGGATTGATGGCGGAGCACTTGGCTTCAATCTTTGGCACTGAGAAGGACAGGGTCAACTGCCCCTTCTACTTCAAGATTGGGGCTTGCCGTCATGGAGACAGGTGCTCCCGCCTCCATAACCGACCTACGATATCACCGACCCTCCTCCTCTCCAATATGTATCAGCGACCAGACATGATCACTCCAGGTGTTGACGCTCAAGGCCAGCCAATTGAACCTCAGAAGATCCAAGAACACTTCGAGGACTTCTACGAGGACATCTTTGAGGAGCTGGGCAAGTTTGGTGAGATCGAGAGCCTCAATGTGTGTGACAACCTTGCTGATCACATGATCGGAAATGTCTATGTTCAGTTTAGGGAAGAGGAACAAGCAGCTGCAGCTATGAGAGCCCTGCAGGGCCGGTTCTACTCGGGACGCCCTATAATTGTGGACTTCTCTCCTGTCACAGACTTCCGGGAAGCCACATGCCGGCAGTATGAGGAGAATAGTTGCAACCGTGGTGGATACTGCAATTTTATGCATGTAAAACAGATAGGTAGGGAGCTGAGGAGGAAGCTTTTTGGACGATATCGGAGATCCAGTATCCGAAGAAGTCGGAGCCGCAGCCCAAGCCCATATCTCAGAAGAGGATCCCGTGACCGTGATCATGGCGATTATCGTGACCGTGGAGACTATCGGGACGGTGGGCGGAGGAGTGGTGATAGACATGGAAACTATGAAAGGGATGGGGGAAGGCGGTGGCATGGAAACCCGAGGCGTACAAAGAGTCCGATAAGGGAAGGAAGTGAGGAGCGAAGGGCTAAGATTGAACAATGGAATCGGGAGAGAGAAGAGAAGCATGGATAAATTGGGTCACATGGTCTTTTTCTTATTGCTACTCTAATCCTGAGATGACTGGGTGAGGGTTTAGTCTGTTTGTTTCTTTTAATCTTGTTGAACCAAAATGTCTCCAGCCATTTTAATTGCATATCTTGAACATAAACCCTTTTCTCTTTGCTTCTACCACTAGAATGAACTTTGTACCCTGTTACATTTCTATTTGGATTTTCATGTGTTTGAGCTCAATTGTCTGCTATCTCTGAACCTACTATAATACCATATCTTTGTTATGCTTGTTATAAGATGCCTCTGTTATGTTTGGGTTTAATGCACCATGGCCATTTTGATCTTACAATTAGCTTGGAACCAAAGAACTATTGCCATTTTCATCATTCTGTTTTCTAAATATTACTAGCACAGCTTCAAGAGGCAGATTCCTTGCTAGTTTCCTGTTTTCATGCTATCTATAGAGATCCATACTGCTGTGGTTTTGAAAGCAAGAGAAAACATGGTCATACATGCCCTCTGCTATTAGTGTCATCTGGTTGCTTATCTAGTTATAAGGACTTTCTTTGGATGACATAGTAAAGCTTTATGCCAATTTTTGTTTGAACGTCCTTGCCCAGCAGCTGTTCATTGGTACAATTTTATAATGGTGTTATAGATGCAAATTTCTTTATTCATTTTAAAAGTTCATTTAGTTGTTGCAATGATAGCATAGTGCATCTGTATGTTTAGATGTTCTTAAAGTTGGACATGCAATTTCGTTTACCTGATTAAAATCTTCATATGGCATCTCTTACTTATGTGGCCTTGCCTTTTATGATCGACTTTTGTACTTTATTTACTCAGTGAAACAATTTTAAGTCTTTGAAGTTATCTGACTAGGATCATTTGATGCAGTTATGAGTTGAAATCTATAAGTTTTTGTATTTACTTTCAACTCCTGCTATCTAAGAATTTTTATTATGTATTTGAGTTACAACCTTAGTTAGTCGCTCATAAATTCACATTCAAATCCATGCCCATCATATAACCAAGTTTTACCTGTATATCTAGGACATATATGATTACACTAACTAAAAATGTCTTGGCATCTTGGTAAGGTTGTTCTTTTGCTCTGGATGTGAAGGATTTGACTTGTAGAAGCACAAACAACTTTATGCATGCAGTGTTAGGTTGCATGGATTTGATCCTGCATTAGTCGGATTCTTGTGCCTTGGGTTGGGTTGTCTTTTCTGCTAGTAAGAATTTCTTCAACTCTTTTTCGGCGGCATGATTGAGTTTGTAGAGAAGAAAATAAGGACAGTTGTGTTACATGGCTTCCAAGGATATAGATATCATATAATTGGTAGTCTTAAGAAACTTTTAATTAATCTCGTCCTGGATACTAAAGTTCTGTCCAAAGTCGTCACACTCAGGTATCTTTCTTGGACAGAAAGATCATGGCCATGTGCTAAGATGTCTGGTTATAGGGTAGACGTTGGATCTGCAAATCTTACATGAAGGAGTACAAGATAGGAAATGAAATTATAGGTGAAGCAGTTTGCATTTGTTATCATCTCTATGGATTTGGGATTAGCTAAAGGTCATTTAGCTGTTCTCACACGAATACATCCACTCTGCATGGACTAAATTTTGTTTGAAGTTGCAATTTACTAGATAAACCAGTAGGGGAAGTGTAAACTTGTTAGCCATTGCTGCTTTTTAGGAAACAACTATGGTACTGTTAGATTTATCCTGTTTTTAAGCTTGTCTGGCGTCATCATGCATTATTGAGTCTTGACCATCATGCTTCAAAGGAGAAAGTAATTAAATGCTTATAAACCTAAAACAGCAGAATTCTCCTTAAGCTCAGATTTGGTAGAAGATGAACATAAGAGTTACTATAGCAGGTTCGAAATATTCAGAGTAAAGGTGAGAAACTGTTGATATGAGATGCAATCAAAAAGTTCTCATTAACTTTTTGTAGGTTGTTGTTGCTTGGGATTTACGAAACCCTGCTAAGGCTTCCAAGTTGATGTGTTTGCATGCATGGAACAGGTTATTAGCATGGTAGTATCTGAATGGCAATTGGGTTGTGGTTTATAAGTGATTGTTATTCTCCCAGGGTTCCACAAAAAGGCCAGTTATGCCTTTTGCAGCCTTTTCTCAGTGACTGACCTGTATGAGATCAGTGGACAAGAAAATGACTAAAGGTTGGTCTCGAACGTTAGGAGAAATTGGAGAGGAGAGTAAATTTGATAACTTAAGAGTGAATGTTGTTAGATGGCCGTATGCTGGATTTCATATAGATAAAAATCATGAAACATTTCTTTGGAAGGTTCTTGCTCTAAGAATTTATAGGATATTTGCTTATTATTGTTGTAGACAGATCTTGTGTTTACTTTTAAATACTTAAGTAGATCATGACTCATTTACCCATCCAAGGTGCAGGGAACATATCTCAAAATCATCCATTCAAACCCAAAAGAACTCCTAATTAGTATAGATTGGGATAGCAGCTCAGAAATGAATGGTTCAAAAATATTGATGCCTTTTTTGGTTGTTTGTCTATGACTATTCTCCCTTATAATCTACATTCTGATTAGAACGGCGGAGGAAGTGAATGGTCCAAGACTTGATAAAAAATTAGTATGGATTCTTATCCAGTATCCGATAATGCAACAAATGTAATTTGTCTCAGTGTTGTTCTTTCGAGGCTACTTGATGGAGCTTTAACTAAAAGAATAGGATAGACTTCTTTTTTGCTGTGCTGTCAACTAATGAATCAAAGTGGTGTAAAAGTATAGTTTCTCTGCAAGGTCCTTTAGTGATTTTAGAAAATGATATGATATTGCTCTGCTATTAACTTATGAATTCAAATAGTTCAAATTATAGTTTTCTCTGCAAGGCACCTTAGTGGTCTTTTATCAAGTAGTACATTTTTGGTTAGGCGTTTATCTGTGAGTTAGAACCGTATCCAATTAAATATCCAGATACATACAGGTCTTTTATTTTGCATGTGTGTGTGTGTTGTGATTGCAAGGTGGATATACAACTAAAGATACAAATAGTGACATGTTATTAGGAGAATGAAAATTTTCTTGTCGATATTAGTTCTTCTGGTAAAGAAGCATCAAATATTTCGGACACCTCTTTCTCTTTTTACTATCAAAAGGTTTCTAGTAAAATCCAAAAGGATAATGTAATTTGGGAGCAAATGGAACGTTAATCTTGGTTTTGCTGTCACTATGTTACTGTCTGTCTCATGTCCGGGTGTGCATCCTTTCATTTGTGGGGACTGCTGCCAGGAATGTAGGTTTCATCGTTGAAATGAACAACAATCTTGTGTCTTTTGTATCAGGATTCGTCAGCTACCAAGTTAGAGGACGAAGCTCATCAAAAGAGCTCTCTCTCTCTCTCTAGAGAAGATGTATATGCATGTATATTCTCTCCTCCCCCATATTTTATATGGTGTGATATGCTTGTCTAGTGTGGCAGAGGGGAAATATTGTGGCACTTGAGCTAAAAGAACCATCCCATATCAGAGTGTTGACTGGCGGATGCACGCATCGAGTGGATCTCCTGAACTGCTGTGGGCGCAGACGAAGGCATCGGCATCACAACGAATATAATCTTTTCTTTTGTTTTCTGTGTAAATGCAATTTGGTGCTGAGCAAACTACTAATGGGTGCGTCCGTCCGTCCTCTCAAACTCTGTTGCACAGCAGCGTGAAGCCGAAAAGTCCCAAGTTTTTGGAATGTTAAACTACATTTCCAAAATCATCAATTGCGTCTTCAAGATGAATATGAGATATCGATTTAAAAATATTTAAAATATGAATATATTTTTTTAAAGGAAATCGTCCTTAACTCTTTATTTTTTTTTAATTCTACCAATAACTAAATATTGTTCAATAAATAAATTTGGAAAGAAAGCAGTGGGTACATTCCCCGGTTAACGGGTTACATGCACCTCCTCGATGGGATCGGCCACTCGATGCCATCGACGTGCTCAGGGACAGACCGAAACCCGTTTCATCGGCACCGCACCGCCGCCGTGTCTCTTTCGTAAATACCGGCCAACTCTTTGGGGTTTCTCCGGGGAGCGGATGCGAAGGGTTGGTGAGGGGGTATATATAACGCTTCTTCCAACCGGTAACGCTATAGGAGACGAGACGACAGAGGAAGAAGCAGAGCGACGACGATGGAATCGGACTACGGCGTCCCGCGAGACCTGTCGGGTCTACAGAAGCAGCGGGCTCTTTACCAGCCGGAACTCCCTCTATGCCTTCAGGTATACTCTTTGTCTCCTTCGCTATGGTTCGCTTCCGTCGAGATCTCCTCCGCCCTCCTCTTATTCTGTAATCTTTTTTGCTACCTTGTCTTCTATAATACAATTTTTTTGATCGAAGTGGTCGGTTCCGAGTAATTGGATCGTGGAGTTTCAGATCGTAATAAAAACGTCGATCCTTTCAAGTTCGGAACATTGTGATGTTTTTCTTATTCTTGTGGCTGCATTCTCATTCCGATGGTTTTTAGTTTCGATACGACATAAGCGAGTGGAACTTGAAGTCACAGTTCAACATAAGAGCGTACTCCTTTCTACTATACTAGTGTTTGGTCACCTATCATATTCCTCGCAGCAACTTCGCTGGGTCGGTGGACTGCCTCGTCCACTTTAGGAGAGCAAAGATATCTCTAAACCCTTTCAGGACAAATTTGTGTCTCATATGTGCCTTTCCTTCCATTATGTTTGGCGACTAGTTGCGACAAACCATAGGATATGATTTTTCCCCACAATTTGATTAGATTTGTGATGATACCCTGAGAAAGAAGCATTCTTGTTTAATATCACCGTTTAATTTTTCTGTGTCAATGTGGTATAGTATAGGGAAAAAAAACATGTATTATGGCATTTATCATATGTAAAATTGTTATCTAGGATCGAATAATTAGATGGCACAACTTCAGATCAAGATATTCGTTTATGGCGATCTTATACATGAATTCAGTACCCATACTGAATATTTGTTTCAACTTTTTCCTTTCTTTCTCATATGTAGTGCACCATATTTTTCGTTCTGAATCTTTTTTCCTGTTTCCTTTTTCCCTGTTGCATCTTTAACAGGGGACAACAGTTAGGGTTGAGTTTGGTGACACAACAATTGCTGCAGACCCTGCAGATGACCATGCTATCAGACAGGCCTTTCCTCACACATCTGGGCAACCTTTGGCTCATTTTTTGAGGGCTACCGCTAATGTTCCAGATGCACAGATAATAGAAGAGCATCCAGCTATCAGGTCCATACTGGTTCGCTAGATTTATTTGATTTTTCTGCCTAATTTGGATTGTATTTGATGAGAGAATGTTCTTCTGTCATTTGAAATTTATATGGTTATGGTCTCGAAGATCTAATTAGTCTTTTATTTACTCTTCAATACGGCTTTCTTGTCTCTTCCATGGCCTTAAACTTCTAGACAGGGACCAACAGTTTTATGATTCATTGTAATACTGACACTCGATTGCTAGAATAATTACACTTGGCTAGTCATTTAACAGATTTTATACATCACAGGGAAGTCATTTCTATAATATAATCTTTTCAGAAAAAGTTTTGAAGAACTTGTCATTCACTAGACTTCTTGTTTATATCGCTCTTTCTCACCATGAAACTTCACCGTTGGCAAGCATTTGTACATTTCTTGTCAAAAGTTCTATTTTTATCTGTAATATAAGCTTTTTTTTATTAAGATTGTCACTGCAGTGCAAAATAGAGATATTTTTTCATTACATATTTGTATCATTTTTGTGTAGCAGGTCAATTTTGAATTTGAGAATTATTTGCTTTATTAAACCTTTTCTTAACCTTCTGGATTTGCTTATTTTGTCTAGTCCCTAACAGGTTTTGTTTAGTTCGACAACTTATCTTATCGAACATCATTTTATCTCTAAATCTTCTGATGCAGGGTGGGAATTGTATTTTGTGGGAGACAATCCCCAGGAGGACATAATGTAATTTGGGGTCTTTATAATGCCATTAAATCTCATAACCCTGAGAGCACATTATTTGGATTTGTTGGTAAGCATTTGTGTTATCCCCTCCCATCTTGATTGATCACTCTATTAAAAGTTTGCTCCTCGTTATATATATTTTAATTCGTTTGATATCATATATATTTGTGCCATCTCACTTAAATGTTTTTTCCCTATTATTTTCCCTTGGTTATTTAATATTTTAAACAGTTTTATGCTCTTTTATGGTAAAGCAATTTATATAGTTTTGTAAAACATCCTGAATTTTATAGGGACTATATAATCGGTGGAGTCAAGTTCATCAATGAAAGAGTCATTTTCAGGGCACTATTTATGACTGTTCACACCAATCCCAATAATAACAATGTTTTTACTAGTTTGTATTCTCGGAGCTCAACTCTAGGTCCTCCCAGACAAAGTTGAGCTAAAACTTTAAGTCTTCCAAAACACTTTATTTCAACGATTCAAGCAGGAGAAGCGCCCAACCTTTGGATGAACTTACCTTAGTAACGATTACTTGAATCAAACATCCCCCATGGACTTCAAAAAAAATCCCCATGTACTTGTATATTTGGTGAAGTTCTTGCTGTATTATGTGGCTTTATCTTCCAAGCTAACACTTAACTTACAGATGCTCTTTCTCTCTCTCTCTCTGAGGTGTGTTTAGGTAGTTACCATTCCTTAGCTCTCTGAGATCAAGTTTGTGGGTTTGGCTATGAGATTTATGTGTTCTTGTGATTAATTGACTTATGAATAAAATTTTTAAGAATAGTGTGGTAGGAACAAGGATGATGAGATCAAAAACAGGGGCTATAAAGAAGAGAAATCACAATACTTATGGTGAGCTTGAGGATAAGACGAGCTAAAATCATTCAAGGCTTTACTAAAATATCTAAATTTAAGAGAAGATCTTTGAATATATATCAACAATGCAACTCAAAGAATTTTTGGAGAGAGAACTAGATCAAGGAAGAATCGGGCAGGAATAGTGGGAAAGGATGTAGCCCTTGAATGGTAATTGAATTTTTCCTCCAGCTAAGTGGCAGGAAAGTGTCCACATCGCAAATCCCAATAGATGTAATAGTTGTCTGTTTGTTCTTCATTCTAATTCTATCGTGTCATTGCTATGATTCTCATTTGCATTCGGGATAAAACAATTTATATTTTGTTTGTAGGTGGTACGGAGGGCTTATTTGCTAGGAGAATTCTGAAAATTACAGACGATATACTTTCCACATATAAAAATCAGGGTAAGTTACATTGTTGCTTCATAGTTTTATTGGTGGTGTATCTGTAGATTTAGGTGTTATAAATTACTTATGAAATGCTTGACAGTGGCACAATGAAGTTGAAATAGTACTGTGCTTGTCTAACTTGCACTGGAGCATGTTTTAAGTCATTTCTTTTAGGACAGATCCATTTCGCCATGTGCTGTGTTGCCTGTGTCACATCAACATGTAGGTGCAGATGTGGCCTCTGAATCATGCTGACACTGTTGCGACATGATTCACACCTTACTATATGCAACCGCGAAATGGTTTGCTCTTTGTGCATATTCTCTTTTTAATTATGCATTTCTGTTTGACTTCTAAAGGTGGTTATGATTTGCTCGGACGGACGAAAGATCAAATAAGAACAAGTGAGCAAGTCAATGCTGCAATGTCTGCGTGCCAAGAACTGAATTTAACCGGTCTTGTCATTATTGGTGGTGAGTCCAATGGCATAGCTAGGCAAGCTCAAAACAAATTATGTTGCTTACGTTCTGTTTCTTGTCCACTTTTAGGAGTTACATCCCACACAGATGCTGCTCAGCTAGCAGAGACCTTTGTGGAGTCCAAATGTCAAACAAAGGTTTCAGTTCTGCTACATCTCTCTCGCTCTCTATCTCTCATTCTCTCTCTCTAGCAAAACAAACTTACCGTAACCCTATAAGTTCCTCAAACAGTCTCCTATATGTTGGGAGATGTTGTATCTCTTTTTTAGCTGTATACCTGAATACAATAGCGTATGTCGACAGGTAGTTGGAGTTCCTGTAACCTTGAACGGAGATCTCAAGAACCAAATTGTTGAGACAGACGTAGGGTTTGACACAATATGCAAGGTATTAATGCATTTTTGTGAACTATACTTTAATCGCGTAAACAAATTAACCATGTATATAGACTCTTCGTCATTAATTTGACATCTTTTAGTACTTCTTCTTGTGACTTGTCTTGAAGTATTAGTTTGAAGATTGCTTTTGGAAATTCTTTTCCCAGGTTAATTCGCAACTCATCAGCAATGTTTGTACAGATGCCCTTTCTGCAGAGAAGGTAACACCTTAATTTATGTGTTTTTTGGGTGAAGTAGTTCCTGCAGTTGCTTCACATTGTACTTGGCCTGCGCAGAGTTATCTTTATGCAAGTTCTAAATACTTTAGTCACGTATAGTTTTGTCATGGTCGGCAAGAAAGATGGGCTTTCTTTTTAATGTTAATCAAGCTGACACTGATGTGCTTTCTTGCTTGCTAAGAAATGAAATTTTGCTTTGGCTCTCCCTTTTTGTGTTTGCGTTCTCTGGATGTGCGTTTTTTATTCCAATGAGTAGCTCGTTATTTACCTTCTTTTTCAATATGGCTATCATCAGTCTTATGTCATCTTCAGCTGGTTTCATGTTCTGTCACTTACGTTTGACCTTGCAGTATTACTATTTTATTCGCTTGATGGGACGTAAGGCATCTCATGTGGCCTTAGAGTGTACTCTCCAGTCGCATCCAAACATGGTCAGTCTTTCATGCTATTTTTTTCCTCTACTTTATCCCATCTTTTCAACGGAATCTGTTTGATATCATCTTGTGTATTTCATCTCAAATTACCCTTAATCTATTCCCAGGTTATCCTAGCTGAGGATGTTGCCGTATCGAAACTTACAATTTTTGACATAACAAAACAGATCTGCGATGCAGTCCAAGCCAGGGCAGAGAAAGGTAACATATAGAAGTGAGTACTGTTTCTTTTACTGATTAGCATGAAATACAGCGCAGTGACTTACCAATATGTTCTTGATGCAGACAAGTATCATGGTGTCATTCTTATCCCCGAGGGGCTAGTAGAAAGTATTCCAGAATTGTACGCCCTGCTCCAGGTACATGATCTGCTTCAGACTAATTAGTTTTATGGTATTTTGCCTAGTTTCGTATTGGAATGACTTCTATTTTTTTTACTTTTCTTCATCTAGTTGCGGATCATGGTTTCTGATGGACTGAGTATATTATTTGTAATTGCTTAAGGAAATCCACGGTCTTCATCGCCAAGGAGTTTCTGTTGAGACAATACCTTCTCAGCTTTCACCATGGGCATCCGCATTGTTTGAATTTTTGCCACCATTTATGAGGAAACAGGTTACTTTTTTTATTACTCGCAATCGCATATATATATCTGATCCACTGAGGACTTTTCCCTGACGAGATCCTCGACTCCGCAGCTGGTTCTCCACCCGGAGTCTGATGACTCTGCACAACTTTCCCAGGTAAATCTCCACTAGTTGGACTAATAATGTAGAAGATATATTAAGCTCTACCATGCATCTACTCGTTTTGCTTAATTCATTTCTTTTCAGATCGAGACTGAAAGGCTGCTAGCCCATCTGGTGGAGACAGAAATGAACAGACGGTTGGTACGATAGGTTCATACTCGCTCTTTAAACATTATTCAAGATTTGTTTCTGATCAACCTTTAAAGGTAGAGAAATTTCATTTTACTAAATTGGTGTACAGAAAGAAGGCACATATATAGGAAAGAAGTTCAATGGAATCTGCCACTTTTTTGGATACCAAGCTCGGGGATCTTTGCCATCAAAATTCGATTGCGATTATGCCTATGTATGTTCTGTTAAGGAGTATTTTTTTTTTCTTGTGTTTTCTTTCCTTGTGAATGAGCCACTCATAGATCTGTACTGCATAGGCGCTTGGCCATGTTTGCTATCACATATTAGCTGCTGGTTTGAATGGTTACATGGCGACCATAACAAATCTGAAGAACCCTGTGAATAAGTGGAGGTGTGGAGCTGCTCCGATACCGGTAAAATTGTTTTATCTTTTTTACTTGTTTGCAAATAAATGGACACTGCTCTCTTATTTTACATTACACTCACTTGATAACACACTGTTTTGGCTGAACGCCAGGCAATGATGACTGTAAAGAGGTTATACGGCCCAGGAGCAACAGCTATCGGAAAGCCTGCCATCCATCCTGCCACAGTTGACTTGGAAGGAAAAGCCTATGAGTATGTCTTTACGACGTTGTATTAATACCTATTTTTGCAGCTAAGCCCTGTGAGAAGGTCTTCCTCTTAGGACATTATTGTTTTGTAATTATCGCTTTATTTCTGCACAATTCTGATGTTCGTTTTTCCTGCGAGAGTTAATTTTGAACTTTTGGTTCCAGGTTGGTGAGGCTCAGAGCTTCCAGTTTTCTGATGGACGACATATATAGAAACCCAGGGCCAATCCAATTTGAAGGGCCGGGTGCTGATGCAAAGTCTATTTCGTTGTGCGTCGAAGACCAAGACTACATGGGCCGAATTAAATTGCTTCAGGAGTATTTGGATAAGGTCCATAACTTTCTCATTACATGATATATAATTTTTCCTTCATTTTTTAACCTTTATATATATTGGAGCCATGGAATGGACAATATCCATGAATTACCCGTAGAAAAGTTATCATGGAGGATTATTCTTATGTTTATACAGGTGAAAAGCATCGTTAAGCCTGGGTGTTCGCAGGATGTGCTGAAAGCAGCTTTGAGTGCTATGGCTTCGGTGACAGACGTGTTAGCGCTGATGTCTTCCTCCTCCATGAATGGGCAGACACCTCTCTGAGATGTTAGATTTGCTCCGTCTCTTCTCGTCTACTACTCTTCTTTTCCAGTTCCAACGAGTTAAAGCGTTATAGTTTTTATTGAGATTCTGTGCCCCCCATTTGTACTTGGGAGTTGAATAATGGTTAAAGCACACTATAGTTTATTGAGAAACATTAGAGAACGTCAATACATAAATGGAATTTCCTTGAGATAAATACTAGATTATGTATGTATGTACACAAAAAAAAGCTTGAAAAAGACCGATATATTAACTTCTTTGACTGAACAAATTTGTCGCCGAAAAAAAAAAGAAGAATTTCTATGTCCACAATTCAAGGTGCAAAAAAAAAAATTAAGGGAAGTAAATACGATCACCCAACCCGATTATAGTAGTCAAAGGCCATGGAAACTGCCACCGTTAGCGGTCAGACCACCCGCCGTCCACCTCCCCCTCCTCCTGTGCCACGTCCCGCACACCCACCACGCACGTGCTTTGCATGTGCTTCGGTGTTGCCTCCTCCGTCTTGCCGACGGAGAGCGCATCGATGATGGGCCAGACGACCAGGATCGCCTCGCCGACTGCTGCTAACGTCGCGAACGCGACGGCGGCGGCGAGGGAGAGCCACTGGAACGCGGTGTCGCCAGGGTTGCAGAGCGTTGAGAAGGTGAGAGCAGCCACCTGGACGGAGAGCGCCCCCACCACCGTGGCGGAGAGCGCGTAAAGCCGCGCCCTCAGCCGCCGGTTTATGACCACCGACACCGCTCCCCACGAGGCGGAGATGAAGACCGGTACGTACACCGCGCCCAGTACCGCGAGGAGAACGGCGCCGATGAGCGGGTACGTGCACTGGTAGGCCGCGGCGGCGGAGGAAGAGATCGAAGTTACACCGCCGTCGCTGGGGCCGAAGAGGACGGGGGGAAGGCTAAGTCGGCGGAGGTCCCAGGTAGAGACGGTGAGGTAGAGAGAGTAAAGGGTGAGAAATGGGAGGGCGGAGACGAGCGCGGCGGCGATGGCGGCAGCGAATGCGGAGGCTGAGGAGGCTGGTTTGGGGCGGATGGAGGCGCGGAGGAGGAAGAGGACGACGGTGAGGAAGGCGGGCTCGGCTAGAGCCTGCGTGGCGACGAGGTGGGCGTGGCAGAGGATGTCCAGGCGGCGGCGGAAGGGGAGCGGGAGGCGACGTCGGAAGATTGGGGAGCGGAGGATGTCGGAGAGGGACCAGATGGAGGCGAAGAGGAGGAGGACGAGGCGGACGGACCAGAGCGGGTTGACGATGTCGTGGAGGCGCCTGCGGCAGAGGCGGCGTACACGAAGAACGGCTGCGGCGGAGGCAGCGGAGAGGACGAGGAGGGCGGAGCATACGACGGCGGCGGCCACGTCCTGGGGGGAGTCGGAGCGGTCGATCAGCCGCATGTCGTCACCTCCTCCGGCGAGGTCGTATCAGGTCTGGTCAACGCCAGTTTTCCCTCCCACGCTCCATTACGTGACTTCAGCAGCCGTCGTCGCCCTCGTCCTCCTCCTCCTCCTCCCCGTCTTTCCCTATCTGTTTTGTTTGGTTGTTTCTTTTCGTTTTTAGCGCGCCACGAAACGAGAGGGAGGGAGGGAAGGGAGGAGGCGAGGACGAGCTGGTCCTGCACTCACCGTCCGTCTGGTCATCCCACGGTCCTCAACACTTTTGATTGGGTACGTGCCAACGTGCATACACCGTGCGAGTCTCGAGCGTACACAACCTGGACGACGATGGGGTACGTCATCCCGATTCCTCCGGACTACAGCTCTATCCGACCACCACTTTGGTCTCCATCGGATGCAATCCATTCTGTTGGCTCGTAGATCTTGTGGCTGTCCAACTCAGCCTTCCAAATCCCAAATCCCAAATCCATGGTTTTTGACTCGGGAAGAATGTGTACGCCCGTTGGCATCATCATCACTCCGACGAACAACTCGGTTTGTGCTGTGGTATTTCAGCTCCCATCTTCACAATCCAAACCCGTATCGTCTCATCACGAAGACGGACAATGAGAAAACTGTACCAGCCTAACCTAACAGCCATTCTTCTTCTATTGCAGGCTCAGTCCGCCGTTGTTGCATGCAGGATGTATGTTAGAAGGAGACGACGTCTAATTGACACCATAGGAGCTGTCAGGAACATTTTGGCCCGTGGCACTATTCTTTTGTAGCACCAATTGCACCCACATCCGTATATGAGGAGAAAAACTCGTCTCATGAAAGGATGAAAAGAGGTCGTCGACTAAAAGGACTTGCGGCTCGACTTGCCTCCGGCGAATCAGCTCGGAGAGAAACAAATAGGCACTTCAAGGCCTTAAAAGGAAAAAGGAAGAGGAAGACTCCCCCCAATTCAAAGGATCTAGGAAAAGGGACTTTTAGTTTTATATTACTAGAATATAAATTAAAATTTATGATTAGATATGATTTTATGATTAAATAAAATTTTAGTTTAACAGTTTTAGTCAAGATGGGGGGACTCCATTATACTTAGGTTAAAGTCTTCAATTTATTTTTTTCTATAAATCAAGGATTCATGTTGGCAGAGAAGCCGACTTTGTATGGAAGGTATAAAAATCACCCCCAAAAATTATCCACAAAAATTAACTTAAGTTTCGAAGGGATTAAGTCGAGACTCCCCTCTCCGGTATTGACTTATTATGCATAAACTCAAGACCAAAAACCTCTTATGGATCCGTCAGAAAACACCCTATGAGATGATAACCACGATCCCTCGTCCATTCTCTATGACACATTCATTCTGAGTAACAATGCAAATGACCTTACACTATTGGGATCAAACCAAATCGTATCCCTTCCCAAAGCCATGACATAAAGAGATGTAATATTTTAGATATAATTTAAGAGAAAGAGATGAATTTGAATGGGGACTAATATATCTACTATCATGCATGAGATTATAAATTTTATTTTTATTAAGAGTTTTTATATTTGAAGTTTCTCTAGACTCTTTTTTATATGTTTTTATACCGATCATTTTTCATGAGAAATTTTCTAATATGGTAACATGAGTTTTTTTTTTATTTCTAATGTAGCTTTTCGAATTTTCTAACATATATATTTTATTATTTTAGGATTTGGTTTTTTTTATTTTTTAATATAAATAAGAACGACTGAATCACGTTCATTATTTTTAAATCTATATTTTATTATTAACTATTTACATCTATTTTGTAATTTTGAAAAAAAAAATCCCCAAGCCAGCACGTGTCTGTTGATCAGACGTGAATGGGTCGATTTGGTAAGAACCAACGCCATCAAACCCGTCTTTTTGCCGGTCAAGACCTAAATGGGGTCTCCTTTGGCCATTCGAGGATGAAACCCGTTTCGTTGTTGAATAATATATGTCAACACAGGTTGGTTCCTCTTGCCCTGTGTATCGTCGCCACCTAAGCTCAGGCAATATTTGAGTTTGATCTCGTTACCTATGATTTTGGAATCCTTAATTTCGATTTTATTAAATTTAAAATCAAAATCAAATCTATTCTAGACTATTCGTCTTCGATATATCAATTTTGATTGGTAAACAAAATTAAATTACTTCTTTAAGATTTGAATATAAATCATTAGACTTTTATGTTTAAAGTTTGATTAGTAGATAATCAAATTTATTTATGTTAGTACACAAAACCATCGACGACGAGTGAGACAGTTCGATTGATTCACTGTCGAATGTGCAGGTCTTTCCTGGTGACTCCTCCTTGCTGACAGAGGGAGCTGACATTGTCGGTCAACATAGAGAGCCCGTTGGGGGAGATGGTTCGCTGGGAGCAGCTTGACCTTGGTATGATGAAGCCAGGTAGGAGAGCTGAATTCTCCTAGTTGCTGAGTTGCCTCCTGACCATGTCTTCGAATAGCGTCGAGGGGTCATGCACAACTGGTCGATACCGAGGGCATCCCAGCTTAACCCCTCCAATGGTTAAGTTAGCGAAAGATGTAGATAAAGGAAGACAGTAATATGAGTAGTGTAAATAAGAGAGTAGAGAGTTTTTGCCCGTCTCCCTTTTGTCTTAGAATCGAACTATAATCATAATCATTTTGATGATCATAGTTTCAATTCAATTTGATTGTAACTGAGCCAAGATTAATATTACATTTAATATTCAATTTATAATGTCAAGGATGATCTCGAAACTCATACTATCTTTTTCTCTCCTCAAATATCTTTCTAGTGTGGAACTCGTTGGTATAAATCATTTAATATTGAAACTCCAAATTTATGGAATCTAAATTCAATTATTCAGTCAAACATTTTGATTCTTAAGAACAAGAGGCTTGGATCAATGATGGATCTAATTTTAATAGGGATTCTAATATTTTCCAAAGTAACTTAATTGCCAACTCCCTGTGGTTTGTGTAGATAAATTTGTTTGGCAACCATCATTCCACATTGCTATCAACTTAGTGTTATGTTCTTATTATATCCAATGATTACATGATTCAATACAAGTCTAGCGAGATCCGTAGACTCTTATCTTATATTACTAAATAATAATTCCCCATCATAAATATTATATTGAATGAAATAGGTCCTTCAATGTTCCCTCCAAGTTAGTCGGAATAGATTATACCATTTGAATCACTACTAGATCTGTTGTTGTTGTTACATACAACTTTGTCCGGGCTTCCTACCCTATTATTATTAAATGTCTAGCTATTTTTTATTGCCTCTCAAGACTTAAAAGACATTTAGATTAAATGAGCCATCGGTTTATTATACTTTGGCTTAATAGAATAACATTTTTGACATGAGTAGTTTGAAAATATAATAGCTTTACTCAAAAGTATCAATGTAATTTTTGAGCTTAGATTACTCGTAACACCAACAAGAAAGCCAGTCGAAATCTCTCATATGTGTGATTA